TTCATTTATCTTCAGAGAAGTATCATATCAAAAACAAGGAAACCTTATAAAATTAGGTCATGATTAGATTTTGCAGTCAGCCTCCACAATGCGAACAGCCTCCGCCTTTCTACTCCAACCAGACCTTTAGGTACTAATAATATCAATTCACCTCGGCACAGTGTTCGTGCAGCATACACCAAAGCACACCGACCAACCTATTAGATCCTTGCTTCTCAATGTAATGCAAATGCCACGGTGAGTCAACATTTAGCAGCCCGGGAGATTCCCCACTCTCGGAGTGTTCCTCGGGGACTCGTGGCATCAGCCCCTCCTCATTACGTGCGCGACGTGCTACAGCGTATTACGTCCACACGTCCACATATATCCGCCAGAAGAAAAATTCTGATTGATCGTGATCAGCGATCACTTAAACATTTGGTGAAATCAAATCATAGAAAAACAACAGTAGAACTCAGGGCTATGTTTAATAGTGAAAGTAAGAGCATTTCCACACTGCCCTCATTATGCCTAGTGCCCACTGCACAAGCCTGTGGGGGCAGTGCTATGATCTGGGGTTGCTGCAGTTGGTCAGGTCTAGGTTCAGCAACATTATGTGCCCAAAGAATGAGGTCAGCTGACTACCTGAATGATCAGGTTATTCCACCTATGGATTTTTTCTTCCCTGATGGCATGGGAATATTCCAAGATGACAATGCCAGGTTTCATCGGGCTCAAATTGTGAAAGAGTGGTTCAGGGAGCATGAGACATCATTTTCACACATGGATTGACCACCACAGACCTTAAACCCATTGAGAATCTTTGGGATGTGCTGGAGAAGGCTTTGCACAGTGGTCCAACTCTCCCACCATCAATGCAAGAAACATTTATGCAACACTGGATATAAATCTTGTGACATTGCAGAAGTTTATCGAAATAATGCCACAGCGAATGCGTGCCGTAATCAAAGCTGAACTCTCTCTAAAGTATCAATATCCTTCTGAAGATATGGTCTCCAGTACTGCGTACAATACTCCAAGTGAGGTCTCACCAGTGTTCTGTACAATGGCATGAGCACTTCCCTCTTTCTACTGCTAATACCTCTCCCTATACAACCAAGCATTCTACTAGCATTTACTGCTGCCCTATTACATTGTCTGCCTACCTTTAAGTCATCAGAAATAATCACCTCTAAATCCCTTTCCTCAGATGTTGAAATTAGGACACTATCAAATATTCTGTACTCTGCCTTGGGTTTTTACGTCCAAGATGCATTATCTTGCACTTATCGACATTAAATGTCAATTGCCACAACTCTGACCATTTTTCTAGTTTACCTAAATCATTTGCCATTTGGCTTATGCCTCCTGGAACATCAACCCTGTTACATATCTTAGTATCATCAGCAAAAAGACATACCTTACCATCAAGTCCTTCTGCATTATCACCAATAAAAATATTAAAGAGAATGGGTCCAAGTACAGATCCCTGAGGTACCTCACTGGTGACAAGCCCAAGCTTCAAATATAATCCATTAACTACAACCCTCTGTTGCCTATTACTCAGCCACTGCCTTACCCATTCAACAATATTGGAATCCAAACTTAAATATTGCAATTTATTGATAAGCCTTCTATGTGCAACAGTATCAAAAGCCTTACTGAATTCTAGGTAAGCAATGTCTACTGCACCACCATGATCTATTATTTTAGTTACCCAATCAAAAAAAGCTATAAGATTAGTTTGGCATGATCTCCCTGAAGGAAACCTATGTTGTCTCTGATCTTGAAATCTAAGTGTTTTTAGATGTTCAACAATCCTATCCTTTAACATGGTTTCCATTACTTTACTCACTACTGAAGTAAGGCTTACTGGCCTATAGTTGCCCGACTCCTCCCTACTATCTTTCTTGTGAATGGGCACAACATTCGCTAACTTCCAATCTTCTGGGACTACTCCTGTTAACAATGATTGGTTAAATAAATTTGTTAATGGTTTTGCTAATACACCACTAAGCCCTTTTAATAACTTTGGGTGTATTCCATCAGGTCCCATTGACTTATTTGTCTTTACTTTTGACAGTTGAAATAAAACCTCTTCCTCTGTAAACTCGCATGTAATAAATTACTCATTAGTCCTTTTTCCTAACGGAGGTCCCTTCCCTTCATTTTCATCTGTAAATACTGAACAAAAATATTCATTGAGGCAGTCAGCTAGACCTTTATCCTCTTCAACATACCTTCCTTCTTTTGTTTTTACTCTAACTAATCCTTGTTTTACTTTCCTTTTCTCATTTATGTATCTAAAAAATATTTTTGCCCTTGGATAATTTACGCAGAGCCCCTTCCTGTGGCATTTAGTGGACATGAACACTGTGTAGTAGGAGGTAAAGTCATCAGATTCAGCCTTATAGTGGGCCTACTTGGTGGAGTGATAATTTAAGCAGGGTCAGAGCAAACTGGAAACATTTTGGAAAGTGCCTTTTCTACTGACGCAGCCACTGTTGAATTAATTACGGCCTGGAAATATACCAGAGAGTCCTCCATATTCAATCCCAATCACAGGTCCTTGGAGCTCACCAACAGTATAAACATACCACAAGAGCAAAAGAACATAGGCGGACAGATTACAGCAATACATATTAGGCACTAAGGGCAGTGGTTGGCATTGGACCAGGTGGCGGATGCATTGGTCAAAGTGTACAGTTTGGAAATATAAAATTAGGCACAGTAACTACAGGCCGTAAATCAAAGGTGGTCAAACAACTAGGGCTCGTCCAGTATAGGAGACACAACAGCAGTCTCCCTTCTGCAACACCATTGCCTGCCAGGGATCTCACCTAGTAGTGTACGGGCAGAGCCTGCCAGAGAAAGGGGACAAACAGTAATGGGGGAAGACAGAGCCTTTCAGGAAAGGCCCAGTCGTTTGCAGTTAGAGCCTGCCAGAGAGAAAATAAAAACAGGGAATACAAACAGATCCCACACTAACAACTCCCAAGGAATAAAACAAAATACAGCAGTCACAATACGGCAAATTGACACAATAATACAATATAGAGAGACAGTGAAGAGAGCAGAAACTCTGACTTGTCTTGTCATGGAGCAGCAAAGAAAGATGAGGTGCTTGGGTTCACTGTGTCTCATATATACATTACTTGTTTCTGATTGTTTTTTGTTATCTGTATGCTGCTGTGGAGTTACATAAAGAAAAATCTGTCAAATATGAAGCCTCCTGTCATATTGTAAAATAATTAGATGCACTCACAGTACACGGACTGAACTCAGGGCATTCAGCCAGTAGGAGAGTTCTTCACCAGTGCTCTGCATGTGGATTTCTCTGGTGGTTGGCCAACTGATGTGAGACTGACCCACTCAGCCAATTAATTAAGTCCCAATAGGGACAGTATTGATACTGATAAAACAGAATGTTACTTACAATGAAACCACTGACGGGTGAAGTGAATTCATTGATTATATACTAACACTGGCACCTGTCAAGGGGTGGGATATATTGGGAATTTCCTGTGTTGGAAGCAGGAAAAATGGGTGAGCAAAGAGATTGACTCTGTCAAGGGCCAACTAGTTATGACTAGACAATTGGATCACAGCATCTTCAAAAAGGGCAAGTCTTGTCTGGTATGCAGTGGTAAGTACCTACAAAATGTGGTGCAAGGAAGGAAAACTGGTGAACTGACATCAGGTTCATGGAAGTCCAAGGCTCACTGATGCACATGGGGAGCAAAGGCTAACCTGTTGGGTTTGATCACACAAAAAAAGCTAATGTAGCTCAAATTGCTGAAAAACCTAATGCTGGGTATGATAGAAAGAACACAGTGTAGCACAGTTTGCTGAGTATGGGGCTGCATAGCAGCAGACCAGTCACAGTGCCCATGATGATCCCTGTCCACCACTGAATTATATGATAATGGAGCAATGGAAGAAGGTTTCCTGGTTTAATGAGTAACTTTTTTCTTTTAGATCAGTTGGATTGTCAGGTGTGTATGCATCGTTTACCTGGGGAAGACATGGCAGCAGGCTGCACTGTGGGAAGAAGAAATGCCAGTGGAGGCAGTGTTATGTTTTAGGCAATGTTCTGCCTGGGAAACCTGGCATTCATATGAATGTTATTTTGACATGTACACCTACCTAGAGATTGTTGCTGACCACCTACACTTATTCATGGCACTGATGTTCCCTGATGGCAGTGGCTTCTTTCAAATAAATGATGCACCCTGCAAGATTGTTCAGGAATGGTTTGAGGAGCATGACAAAGAGTTCAAGGTGGAACAACTAATCTAGTCCTTGGCGGCCCCATCTCACAACTTGCAGGACTTAAAGGACCTGCTGCTAATGTCTCGATTCCAGATATCACAGGACACGTTCACAGATTTTGTGGAGTCCATGCCTTGACACATCACGGCTGTATTGCTTGCAAAAGGGCTGGTGGTTACATGATATTAGGCAGGTGGTTTTAATGTTCTGGGCTGATCAGTTTCTTTTTACAACAATGCATATTCATTTGGCTTTGTATAGTGAAAAGGGCCTGCATATTAATGTATATAACATTGTATGTAGTGTTAATGTGTGAGAATCCAAAATTTTACAGAAATTCCAGAGAGCACAAAATAGAATTTAGTGCCATACATACAAAGCAATAAATAAGGAAAAAAAAATACATATATTTGTGAGTTCAAATACTAAAACTATTTTTACAATTAAAACTCCCACAAATGTTAATACTAAATATGTAGTATATATAATTTGCTGTCCATGTGACATGCAATATGCAGGACATACAAAAAAACACCCTGAAGGAGAGAATATTAGAACATGTTAATAATAATAAAAAAAAAAAGTTTAAACAGCATTCAGTCCCATGTACACTACAGTAAATGTCCAGTATTTAAACTCAAGGATCTTACTTTTAGGGAATAGATCGAATAAAACAACATTGGAGGGTGGGAGCTCACACAGAACATTTTTGGATCCACAAACTTAATACACTGGAAGCTAGAAGTTTAATTAAATATATGGATATATTTTGGTTTTTACAGGGGTATAGATTTGTTGTCTCTTTTATATAAAATAAAAGGTACAGAAAATATGCACTTTAAATAGGCACTTTGTTTTTAAAATAATGCTTTAAATAGGCATTGCATTATAGAGATATCAATAGACATTTAATGTGCACATTTTAATAGTTTGGTTTTCTACTAATAATATTGTATGTATGCACATACTTGTAATAGGTACCCAATTATAGGGACATGGACATACATGTTTTATTTAATCTAAATATCATTGGTAGGTGTAGGGATTCACTAGATATTATTAATGTTTTATACATTTTATTCATATATAGGTAGATTTAGAAAAATATTTATTCAAAATATGACATATAATAAGAATAAAAGATAGGAAATAATATTGACTATAAATTAGGGATGATATATATATATATATATATATATATATATATTTATATATATATATATATATATATCATAGGCATGATATGATAGGTGTGCACCCTAAAGCACAAACACACGCCGCGTGTGTTTGTATGTATGTGAATATTTATATATATAAACACACAGTTAAATAGAAGTTTTGCACTCCAGCTTTCCAGCTTTCCTTCATATATTGGCCCGGTGCTCATCTGCACAAATTTACACTCTCCAAAAGAAAGCCAGCACTCAAGGACTTCAACATAAAATATGTAGGCTTTTAATCCAAGCAGTAAGTCAATGTTTCAGTTCACTACAGTGAACTTTCCTCAGGGAATAACCAGGGTATATTAAAGCATTGACTTAAATAAGGAAAAATTAACTTACCCAACCTCCATCACCTGTGTGCTGGCGTGCACTGGTCCCCTGTGCGCATGCGTGCGATCAGGCTCCTCCCTCCGTAATGTCACAACATCCGGGATGTCCGGACCCATCACCATAGCAGCATGCAAATAGATCACTGGGTGGAGTGAAGCTACGTGATAGTGCAGAAGATAAGTTGCTGTCAAAAGACAGATAAATAAGTGCCTATATAAAAGATCGCTCATCTACTTAGTGGGCAAAAGATGCAGTGAGATTAAAGTACATGTGTACTTACTCACTAGCAAGAATATATCGTATGTGTAGCAAGTAAAACCTACCGAGACTATTAAAGTGCCAGTGCTCATATTTGCAAATAAAGTAAAAATCAACAAATAAAGATCATGTGCCTAAATATGCATATGAATATTGTGTAAAGTGCAACATGCAAATGTGAAATATACAAAATATGTGCCGGACATACACCCAAGCGAAAGTTAAATGTTATAATACATTGATCACAAATGGGGGATATGGAGTAGATCTGCTGCAGCTAAGGAGTGGAGAATATCAGTACAAGTGACTATATGCAAAATTTAAAATAACTGGTTATATATATAATAGTTATGTTACATACAGATGCACATCTCGTCTAAGCGTCTAAACTGACTAGAAAAACAATTTAATTCCATTGCTTTCATTGAAGTTAAGAGAAAAGGATTGCAGATAAACTTATTATAATAAATACATCAACATCCTCCAATTTTATGGGCTATATATTACCCTAAATCTCAATTGGAGCTGATGGTCTGCTAGAGATCCATAGGGAGTGCATATGATGATAAAATAGTTAAAATCAAAGAGAACTCAAAATTAAATAAGAGATCTAACTATCCAGGGAAATTAGATAAATGACATAAATGTTAATTGTTCATTAAGACCCATTGGTGCTATAGTGTTTAATTCTCAGATCCAGAAAGTCTCTCTTTGCAATAATAGGGAAGAACAATCTCCACCTTGTCTGGATATTGGAACATGATCTATAGCAATGCATTTGAGTGATGTCAAAGAATGTTTTTGCTCAAGGAAATGTCGCGCCACTGGTTTATCTGTGTTGCCATTTCGAACCGCCGTCCTAATACTGTATCGATGTCCTCTGACTCTTTCATACAGCTGTGTTTCTGTCTTTCCGACATAATTCAATCCACACGGACATGATAGTTTATAGATAATGTTGTGTGTTTTACAAGAAATTCGATGTTTAATAGAATATTTCTTTTGTGTATGGGGGTGGACGAATGACATAGTGGGAATGAGATGCCCACACGTAACAAACCCAAGACATTGAAAGCATCCAGGGTTAAGAAATTTACTCTGATCCTGCAAGTAACTTTGTTCAGGGTCAGTGCGGACTAATAAGTCTTGCAAATTTCTCTCTCTTTTGTAACACATCATCGGTTGTTGAAGAAATACTGCCGGTAGAGATGGATCTCCAGTTAAGATATTCAAGTTTGCCTTTACAGCTTGCGACAATTCAGTGCTGTCTGAGTTAAATTTCATAGGAAAGGTCAATCTCGGTGTCCTAGGTTAATGGTGTGCTACAGGTCCATCTTGCTTTGATTGTCATGCTTTATGTAAAGCTACGTTGAGTGTGAAGTGGTTATATCCCCTAGAGAGAAACTTGTTATACATTGTTTCGACTTGAACTTCAATGTATTCGTTCAGGGTATTATTCAGGAATATTTGCAGAAATTGGGTATAAGGTAGAGAGTTCTTGATGTGTTTTGGGTGTGCACTGGTGTAATGAAGAATGGTGTTCCTGTCAGTAGGTTTCAAGTAAAGCTGGTATTCAATTCTGTTATTTTTAATAAAGATTTCAAGATCCAGATATTGGACAATTTTCTCATCAATGTTAGCGGTAATTTTAATTGGACTCGGTAGGTTATTTGTCTCTTGTACAAATTGTTCAGCATCTGTCACAGAACCCTTCCAGAGAATCAAGATGTCATCGATAAAACGTACATATTTCATGATCCGAATATGGGTGTAAGATATGTTGTACTTCAAACACATGCATTCGCATACATGGGCACCATGGCTGTGCCCCTGGATGTTCCTGACCATTGCATATACCACCGGGTCTCAAATCGAAAGTAATTGAGTTGTAGAGTGATGGTAAGCAATTCCATAACAAATTCTATGGATGGACCTCTATAATGAGATGATTGGGACAACGTTTGCCTCATTTCCTCAATTCCTTCTTCATGAGGAATAGTTGTATAGAGGCTTTGCACATCTAACGTTATTAAGATGAGGTCTGCAGGAATTTGATCAATCTTCTCCAAGATGTTAATTAAATCTTGTGTATCCTTGATACAAGTGGGTAATTTATCAATCGGTTCTTTAAATAAGAAATCCTGACGAAAGTTCCAGTAGAGAACTGAAACATTGATCCACCTTGGCAGAAGCCTGAATAAAAGTTAAGGAGTGCTATCTTTACATTATTTTATATATATATATATATATATATATATATATATATATATATTTATTATTTTAAAAAAAACCTTTCACATGGCATATTCTTTAATTTATTATTCATTTAATATATTTGTTCTTTGGACATACTCTAAAATATAACCAAATGTTTTCATATTTTGATATTAATTAGTGATATGTCTGTTCTCCTGTTTGAAGTTATGAAAATGCAATGCTATAAATATAACAATCCTTTAGGTCTTTGGATTCAGTTTTATTATTTATTTTTCTCATTAGCAATTTCCTATGGAATTCACCTCAAGATTGTTACATTGTTATATATATATTTCAATTTCTCTTTGTAATAGTTTTTAATTTTGAGGAAATTAATAGAGACTATCTGCAATCTTTAAGTTTGGATTCCAATATTGTTTAATGGGTGAGGCAGTGGCTCAGTGACAGGCAACAGATGTTATAGTCAATTGAGTATATTCGAAGCAAGGTCTTGTTACCAGTAGGGTACCTCAGGCATCTGTGATATTGCAGGAGGTCTTGATGGTAAGTATGCCTTCATGCTGATTATTCACAACAGGGTTGAAGTTCCAAGAGGGATAAGCCAAATGGCAAATGATTTAGGTGAACTAGAAAAATGTTGAGAGCTGTGGCAGAGAAGGGCTATTAACCCCTTAAGGACCAAGGACGGTTCAGGACCGTCATCGGCATTTTCCCATTGCCGACCGCTGACGGTCCTGAACCGTCCTAACGGTCCTAGTTACTTACCTGATCTCCGTCGTTCCCCCTGCGGCGATCAGTGTTGCTCCCATTGTGGGGAGACTGCCTGCATCCCAGACAGTCTCCCCACACTGGATTAGGACCCCCGTGGCCATGTGATCGCTTAACACAGCTATCACATGGTCACAATAGGTGTCCATGTGTCTGCCTGCAGGGGGACTGCCTGTGCTGACAGGCAATCTCCCTGCTAGTGTAAAATAAAAAAATTATATATGTGTATATATATATGATATATAGACATATATTATATCGATATAATATATGTGTATATATCATATATATAATGTCATACTAAGTGTATTTTTATATTAATGTGTACATATATTAATATAAAAATACGCTTATAATTAAATTACACACGTATATATATAATATATATATATTGTATATATATTATTATAAAATATAAATAATAAGTAATTTAAATTACATTTTTTTTAAATAATAATACAAATTGGAAAACAAAAAAATATATATCTATATGAAATGTTATTCTAACTGTATTTTAAAATTAATATATATATATATATTTATATCAAAATACACTTAGAATGAATTTGTATATATATCTATGTATATATAAATAAATAAAAATAATACAAAATATACATATGTCCATATACAAAATTACATAAATAATTATATAAATATTCACGTAGACTTCAAATATATAAATATGCATATATATTTAAATTCTACGTGCGTATTTATGTAATATTTTTACATAATTAAGTAATTTTCTTGATTGCAATTTGAGGGACCTGCCTGCCAACCTAGGCCGAAAGTCCAGAGAATTTAATTTGCTAGCTCTGTATTTTACCCTGTAACGTTCTACGACACCCTAAAACCTGTACATGGGGGGTACTGTTTTACTCGGGAGACTTCGCTGAACACAAATATTAGTGATTCAAAACAGTAAAACATATCACAGCGATGATATTGTCAGTGAAAGTGACTTTGTTTGCATTTTTCACACACAAACAGCACCTTTACTGATGATATAATTGTTGTGGTACGTTTTCCAGTTTTTAAACACTAATATTTGTGTTCAGCGATGTCTCCCGAATAAAACAGTACCCCCCATGTACAGGTTTTATATTATTTTTGAAAGTTACAGGGTCAAATATATGGGTCAAATATTTTTACATTGAAAATGGCCAGGTTGGTTACGTTGCC